AAAACCTGCATACTGTGCCCCTTCTCAAAATTTCATTGGAATTAAATATGCTGGTATATTTCAATGTAGAAATATAGTATAAAAAGTTAATTTACACAATTATTTAAAAACTAGGTAATATGGAGACTTTACCTCTTATGTTTACATGGATGGAGCTAGAACATATTCTTCTTAGCAAAGTATCTCAAGACTGGAAGAAAAAGTATCCAGTGTACTCAGCCCTACTATGAAACCAATTTATAGCTTTCTTATGAAAGCTATAACCCAATTATAGCCCAAGAAGAAGGGGAAAGGGGAGAGGGAGGGGAGAGGGGAGGATGGAGGGAGGGAGGGTAATTGGTGGGACCACACATACGGTGCATCTTACAAGGGTACATGTGAAATTTACTAGGTGTAGAATATAAATGTCTAAACACAATAACTAAGAAAATGCCGTGAAGGCTGTATTAACCAGTTCAATGAAAATATTTCAAATTGTATATAAAACCAGCACATTGTACCCCATGATTGCATTAATGTACATAGCTATGATTTAGTAATAAAAAAAACTAGGTAATAATTTAAAGAAAGTCAAATTTCTGTGACAACTATTCCTTTTTAGAGTAATTACTTTCTTTCTTTCTTTTTTTTTTTTTTTACTAATATACACGTAGATCATGAATACATTTATTCATATGTGGGGGACAATGTGTTGATTTTTCTATACAATCTGACGTGGTTTCATCAAACCAATCAACATAGCTTTCGCCTCATTTACTTGATTATTGTGTTAAGACATTTGTGTTCTACACTTGACAGATTTGCCCTGTACCCTTGCAATATGCTCCATGGGTGTGGTCCCGCCGTTTACCCTCCCTTGGTCAAACCTTCCCCCCCTCCCCTCCCTTCCCACTCCATTTCTCTCCTTCACCCTGGGCTATAGTTGTGTTCTATCTTTCATAAGAAAGTGTGAGTAAATATAAGTTGGTTTCATAGAAGTGCTGAGTACACTGAATACTTTTTCCTCCATTCTTGAGATACTTTACTCAGGAGAATATGTTTCAGGTCCCTCCATGTAAACATAAAGGAGGTAAAGTCCATCTTTTTTAAGGCTGCATAATATTCCATGGTATACATATACCACAATTTATTAATCCATTCATGGGTTAAGGCTCTTGGGCTTCTCAGAGTAATTACTTTCAATAGCCAAAACCAGAAATGACTTTATAGGATATGACTACCTGAGGTGTTTTTACTTTTAATAAGATTTTACACTGAATTTGCCTGTAATCACTTCTACTTGCAGCATGTATGCTGTGGGTGAGGCCCAGCACCGTGTGGAGAGCGGGGAGGGAGAGGCCCTCAAAGGGATTACCGTCTCTTGCATTTGGTCTGCTTTCACACACATTTTCAAGTTCACCCTGGAGACGGAGCCTCTGAAGCTAATTTTTTTAGAAGGCTTCCTTCATGAGATGGAACAGGGACACCCCACACTCACTCCCCACCTGCTGCATGTCCCCACTGAGGTGCTGCAGTGTAGAGAGGGAGGGTCCACACCACCCTGAAGCTGGTGTGGACCCTCCATTTCAGGAGATATGTGGCTGCTTGGGGTCTGCTGGGCTTAGAGGTGGGGGACTGAGCATAGTGATCCATTCTCCAGTGAGCATGGATGGGGGGCTGCGTGCAGAGGGTTGGGCTGAGCATAGTGATCCATTGTCCAGTGAGCATGGACAGGGGGCTGCATGCAGAGGGCTGGCTTTGCAGCACAGCTTATTGGGCTGGTGTCACCTGTGTGGCTGGGGCAGAGGCCTTCAGGGAATGGCTTCACCCAAAACACAGGTGTCCTATTGTCCTCTCAGGCTCTGAGCTCCTCCCAGTCCCACTGTGCTCTGCTGGAGCCCCTCTGTCAAACACACTTATGTGTGGAAGAAGGGCTGGGGACATCTCGATGCACCTGCCGCTGTGGGTTGACAGAGGTGGAGAGGTGCAGGTGGCTGGTGACTTTGGACTAAGAGACACTAGGCAGGCAGGGCAGGATTTTGAACCACCGAGCCTGTTTGCAGATGTAACAGCTGCCTGAAGGCTGTAGTCAAATACAAAGGAACAGGAAGGACTGGCTACCCCACGGCTGCTGTGTCGATGGTGTGGGGACAGAGGGTGGGTGACCCTTGGCTGACAGAAGGTGGCTGCGGAGTTCTGACCCCCTTCAAGCCAGAGTGAATGAGAGTTAGGCATTAATCCAAGCATCACTGGGAAAGAGGATTACTCAATGACATTGTGGCAGGAATAAGACAAGGTTCACAGAATAAGAAGGAACTGAGGGTGACCTAACACAGCCTTTCACTGCAGAAATGAACAAGCCACGTATTCCTCCTTGTTCCGAGGAGAGAGGGCTGAGCCCGCCATGGCAGCAGCGAGCTAGAGGACCAGGCTGCAGGGCACAGACCAGAGGCCAGAGTGTCTGGTCATCAGGATTTTGAAGAGCAGATCAAGCCACCTGGGAACTTGTGAGCTCAAAGTCACCCCTTCCCAACCCTCATTGTCTGCTCA